GCATGAGTATCAGAGGAGGGAGGGAGGAGGGAGGAGGGGGCCCGCGGCACGGGCCAAGCGCTCGCGTGCACGCTGTCTGCTGAGACGGAGGGCACAATATGTACATTCAGTCAAGGCATGCTGTGTCGTGAAAGAATCAGGACCGAGGTGACGGAAAATCTTCGCCGTTTTCGGCCCCTGGGGCCAGTGCCAAGCCCCGGGACCACCGAAAAACTACTCAGGAAGAAAAGCTGGTCCCTGGGGAGGAGTCAGGAGTTGCAGGCACTTGCAATTTTTGAAAACGAATGTGCGCGGCGCTAAGGCAAGAACAACATGTTGAACACCACTCGCCCTTAATCCGTGAAGCTCTTGCAATTCTTTAATGCGAATGTTCGAGGGGCTAAGGCGAGAGCCACATTTTGAAAACGACCCGCCCTCCATCTGTGAAGCTGTTGCCAATTTTTCAGCTTCAGAATCATAAGTGGTGAGGAAATCTCAGGCGAAACGCCTGGCCCGCCCTAAAAACTGGCCTCGGGGTGCGACAGGCAGAAATTATTCATAAGGAGAAGAGAGGAGGAAGATGATGGGGGAGGAGGAGGAGGAGGAGGAGGAGGAGGAGGAGGAGGAGGAGGAGGAGGAGGAGGAGGAGGACAAGGAGGAGGAGGAGGAGAAGGAGGAGGAGAATGAGGAGGAGAGGAGGAGGAGGAGGAGGAGAAGGAGGAGGAGGAGGAGGTAAGATCAGGAGCAGGTGCACCGCCGAAGACCGCATCAACACCGCCTCAATCGCAATCTGGGGCCAAGCCCCCAGGGCCATGGATCGGAGGCCTAGGCATCTGTGGCACACCCTCCAGGCGAGACCACCGCCGTCACATCTGCACTGGCGCGCGCGCGCGCTCTCGCCGAGAGGTGGATGAAGAGGTCGATGATAAGGGATTCGGAGGGGGAACCGACGGAGCAAGAGAGGGAGGAGTGCGCAACTCGATGAGCTCCATGCGTGACTAGCAACGGGGCCACATGCTGTCAAAAGTGTTGGAGCTGTGTCGCCCACCTGCAAGAGGGGGCCGCCCCGCGACACCACTATGGGGTACCACTGGCTGACAGGAGGCGGAAGAGGAGAAGGAGAAGGAGGAGGAGGAGGAGGAGGAGGAGGAGAAGGAGGAGGAGCAGGAGAGTGTTGATGAGGTTCCAGACATGCGAATGTCTGGGAAGAAGGAGAAGGAGCTGGAGGTGAGCAACGGCACAGTGGACGCACCACTGGGCCACAAAGGCACAGAGAGACCGCTCGCGCACAGCACCGTCCGGCCTAATCGGCACATCTACGGGGAGCACGCGGCAGGCGCGAGAAGTTAGAGAAAGCCTGGTCACCTCTTCTTCCTCCATCCCTCCTCTATTCCCTCAAGCCCCCCCCTTGCTCCTCCCCATGAGCCTCAACATATTCGCACTGCTTGAACTGATTTTAGAGTCGCCGTAGAGGCCTGACCATCTTTTTTGCAGAACCTGAGGCTAGCTGTGGGCCAACCTTGTGAGCATGAGCAGTGCCGGCCTCCTGTGAAGCTGCAGGGAGAAAAAAGCTAGGCGAAGCACGCGATGCAGATCAGCTGAAACCTTGCTAGCAACAAGTATGTACGTATGCCCGTTGCAACTTATAGGCACGGTGGCAATTGGTCGCAATGCGCCTTTGATCCTCATCCTCGTCTACCTCCAATCTGCTAGCACGGTCTGCTATTCTCCCCCCCCTCCCCCCCCGCCACGCCCTGCTGCAGTCCGTCGCCGACGGAGGAAGACCTGCGAGGTTGGGCAACACCCTCCGCTCAAGGCTCGTGCCGAGCGGCCTCCCAGGCGCTCCCGCCTGGCGCCAGGACCACAGGTTACGACTCGTGGCCCGTAGGGGGTATTAACACGGCGGGCGGGCCAATGCACATGTACCCACCGAAGGAGGCCAGGGGCCATGAGGGGGGGGGGAGTGGGAGGCGGTGGTAGGAGGTCGATCGCGAGTCGCGCGGGCCATTCTGGGACCTCTGCTCCCTCATCGCGCGCCCCGGCAGGCGGCAGGCTGACCAGTCTTGGCGAAGCCGATGCAGTAGGTCGGCACGAGCAATGCCACGAGCGTGAGGGGACTCTGTGCCCTGCCCTGCTGGGCGTAGCTGGACGCCACCTCGACGAAGACCATCGCGAGAAGAAGCGCGATTGCCCACGCGTGGGGGCCCAGCTCGACGTTCCGCACGGACGAGACCTTGTTTGACAACGCTTGCATCGAGCAGTGCGCCGACATCGCGTGCGAGACCCTCCCGCTGCAGCAGCAGCAGCAATGGGCTCACCTCGGTCTCGCGTGGGGCCGGGGACTGCGATGCGGATGCCTGCTGCCAAAACTGGCACCGCAAGCTGGCCCGAGGCAGAAAAGCTCGAGCCAAAATGGCTACGGAAGAAGCACCCCTGCTTCGAGGATCGGAGAGGAGGATCAAGGTGTTTGCGGCTTCGGGAGGCCTCTCTGGGAGCCTCTGGAGCCGACCTTCAGGGAGGAAGGGAGCCCAGCTTGCAATTCAATTACCGCGCTTGGGGGGGGGAGGGACTCGGGTTGGCCTGACGGGGCCGTCAGGGCAGACATCCCACGAACATAGGACCGTCACAACTCAGGATGGGCCCGTCAAAAAGCGTAGGTAAAGCTAACTTCCGGAGAACTCGAGTCTTACGTTTCCCCGAAAGGAAGGCGGTGTTGAGCCCCCAGGCGGGGGGATCCTGACGAGGTCCGGAAGATCCCAAGTGCTGTTTTTGTTCACGACGTCCTTGGTCATTGGGAGCCCTGGAAATCCGCCGACCCAGTCGGCGGGTGTGAGAGGCTCTTCGACGCGAGGCCAGCCCGATCTAAACTGAAGTACGCCAGCCTCCTCTGAATCGTCGTCGTCGTACGGCAGATTGAACAAAGGGGCATCGAACAATGTCGTAATTACGTCGAAGGGGAACCCCTTCCCTTTATTCCTCTCCGCTGGGGGGGGGGGAGGGCGTCCCGGGAGGGGACCCCAGGGTGTGGGGGGGATGGTCCTGGAGGGGGTGGGGGTCTCGGAGAAGGAGGACAATGGGGTTGTCTCCCTGTCAGCAGTGGAGCTCAGGACCCCTCCCTTTGCCTCGGCCCCAGCTCTGGCCCTGGAACTGGCGCGGGCCCCAGCCCCAGCCCTTGCCCCGCCCTGGGCACAGAGCCCCGGCCCCAGCCCAGCCTCGGGCCCTGGCTCCGGCCCTAGCCCAGCCCCAGTCCCGGCCCGCCTCCGAGGAGACAGACCGCTCTCCTCCTCCTCCTTCTCCTCCTCCTCCTCCTGCTGCTCCTCCTGCTGCTCCTCCTCCTCCTGCTGCTCCTCCTCCTCCTCCTCCTCCTCCTGCTGCGCTGTTGGGATGAGGACGCTCAATTGGAGGGCGTCGCGGGTCAGGACTTGCTAGATTGCGTCGTCGGTTTTTGGACGCTCAATCAGATTAGCTCAGCTACCCTCCCTGAGCCGCGGGAACCTGAATTGGAAAGCCCCCCACGGTCCCCTCACACGTCGGAGATCGTGGGGACGGGCCCTGGAGTCAGCATGACTCCGTAGGGGTTCGTCCTGTCGCCTCGAGGCCCAGCCCTCAGGCGCGTCCCGCTCAAGAGCAGGTTCACCGCTCCATTTCATGAGGCAGTCAATTCGTTGTCATGCTTAATGATAATTTTGGCAAGAGCAGCAGTTGTGCATAGTGCATAATGCAGGCAGAGATTGTTGGAGCTCATGGTGTTCGCATCGCATCCTCCTCCTCCTCCTCCTCCTCCTCCTCCTCCTCCTCCCCTTCTCCTCCTCCTCCCCCTCCTCCTCCTTCTCTTTCTACTCCTCCTTCTCCTCCTCCTCCTCCTCCTCCTCTTTCTCTTTCTTCTTCTCGTCCTCCTCGTCCTCCTCGTCCTCGTTCTCGTCGTCGTCGTAGTCGTCGTCGTTGTCGTCGTCGTCGTCGACGTCGTCGTCGTCGACGTCGTCGTCGTCGTCGTCGTCGTCCTCCTCCTCCTCCTCCTCCTCCACGCCACGCCCAGGCGCCACACGCGCGCCACTCTCACACGCTTGCGCTGGCCCACCTGGCCGGCGCGGATCGAACTGAGAATCCCGAGGTGGGGGCGCGCACGAGGGTGTCGGGTGGCGGGGGGGAGGCTTCTCAGAATGAAGCCGCTTCTGAGAAGGCGCCGGCCTTACACCTACGGGCAAGGCCCGCGCCTTCTAAGAAGCAGGGGTGCCTTTACAAAGCCTCCCCCTTTCCCCTACCCCCCCCCTCTGCGCATGGCCGCCTGAGGCTTGGCCGTCTCGCCGCCGCCGCCGCCGCCGCCGTCGTCGTCGTCGTCGTCGTCGTTGTCGTCGTCGTCGGCGTCGTCGTCGTCGTCGGCGTCGTCGGCGGCGGCGTCGTCGTCGTCGTCGGCGTCGTCGTCGTGTCGTCCTCCCTCAGGATTGCCGCCAAGCTGCGACAGCGGCAGTGGTTTTCGTTCGGCAGCCTCGCACCGTGCGTGCCATTAGACTCTTCATGTGTCTCTGCGCCGATTATTCTCGACGCGCCCAAGTGGACGACGCCGACATCACGGCAAACCCACGGCAAACCCTGCGCTCAGCGCCCGAGTAGACGACGTCAGAACGCGGCAAACCCACGGCGAGCCCACCGCGTCCGAGGCGGCGTTTGCCCTGGTGGCCGAGGCGCCCTCTGTAAGACATCAGGCCGAGCGTCGGAACAAACGGCGCGGCGACATGTGGTGTAGTGGTGCTCCACTGCCCCACTACAGGGGAGCAGGGACACGAACTCCCACTTCTCCTGGCACGACAAGGATGGTGATCAGGAGGAGGAGGAGGAGGAGGAGAAGGAGGAGGAGGAGGAGGAGGATCCAAGGGAGGGCAACGGAGGGTGGTGATGAAGAGCGTCGCCATCACTCCCTGAATCCGCTGTTCGTTCCTGCCCTTCCGCCGTCGCCCCTCCTCTCCGCTGCTCCCCCCGTCACCTCGCAGCCGTCGTCGTCCCTTTGCCGCCCCTCGGGGTACGGAGACGCCCCACGCGCCGATCTTGTTCACCGCGTAGGCTCCACATACTGCGGCGGACCAGAAGTCGTACGCAGACGTGGCCTCTCGGTCTCGCTTTCGCTTCCGCTCCTCAACTGCCCCCTGAATTTTGTATACGCGCGATCATCCTGCCCAGATCGATCTGTGAGGGTCCCTGGGAAAAAGGGGGGAGGAACAGGAGGCTTAGAAGAACATGTTCCCCAGCGTGGACCCCAAACAGTGTGTGTGTGTCTAGAAAACTATGTGGTGCGGTGCAATCTGTCGTACAGCGTATGTTGTGAACATCTGAGGTGCAATCACTGTGAAGCAACCTGTTGTGCAATATATGTGGTGCAGTCTATGTTGTACAATTTACGTTGCGCAATATATGTTGTGCAATCTTTGTGGTGCAATGTGTGTGGTGCAATCTATGCGATGCAATTGATTTTAACACACGAGTTGACACATCCCACGCTCTTGCAACCATCCCACCCACCCACCCACAACTTGGCTTGCAAAACCCACGACGACGATGACGACGAAGAAGACGACGACAACGACGACACCGACGACGACGACGACGACGACGTCAACAACGCCCACGACGACGACGACGACGACGGCGGCGACGACGACGACGACGCCGACGTCGACGACGACGAAGACGACGACGCCGACGCCGACGACGACGACGAAGACGACGACGTCGCCAATGAAGACGACGACGAGGGACGAGGGAGGACGACGACGGCGACAACGACGACAACGACGACAACGACGAGGGAGGAGGGAGGACGGCGACGACGCTAACGACGAAGAAGGAGGAAGGACGGCGACGCCGACGACGACAACGACGAGGGAGGAGGGAAGACGACGACGACGACGACGACGACGGCGACGAAATAGGAGGGACGACGACGAGACGCCGACGACGACGACGGAAACGACCACGACGCCAAAGAGGACGACGACGAACACGAGGAAAGACAGAGGACGACGTAGGCGACGACGGCCACGACGCGGGAGGAGGGAGGACGGCGACGACGACGACGACGACGACGACGCAGGAGCGCGCGCGCACGCTTTTGTTGAAAATCAGTGTTGCGAAACCTTGTGTTTTTGTAGGTTTTTTGGACACACGATTTTGAAATCTTTCCGAAACCGATGGGTTTTGAAGGATTTCGGCATACGCGCGCGACGACGCGCGCGTCTGCACTTCGTCCCGTTTCGTGTAAGGAGGATTATCGCGACGGCACGCGCGCAAGGGCGTTCGACAGATTTCGACATGCGCGCGCGCGAAGCCCGTTTGGTAGCATGTTGTTAAAAATCTTGAAAACCCATGGTTTTCCTAAGATTTCGCAAGAGCTCGCGCTTAAGTTTTTTTAGCAAATCAGTGTTGCGAAACCCTGTAATTTTGTGAGGCTTTTTGGAAACTCGATTGCGACATTTTTCCGACACCGAAGGTTTTTGAAAGATTTCGGTATGCGCGCGCAACGACGCGCGCGTGTGCACTTCGTCCCACTTTTTGCAAGGGATTCGTGAAACAGTGTTATGTTAGAACAAAACACGTCCCCGCGTATCGTTTTTTTTTAGAAGGGAACCTCAGGGGGACCGATACCGGTTCCCCGGGGATAATGTAAATTCGTTTTTAGGATGGACATGTGGTCAGAATCGTATATGATTAAAGTGGGTCGGCGAACGCCGGGGGGGGGTAGAGTCTGTTCTCTTTTTAAAAAGGAGAATCTATGCTGTCCAGCATACGGGGTGCAATTTTTGTGGTGCAACCTATGTGGTGCAAATTCACAGTGAGTGGTCAACTCCACTGCTCGCGCAATCATCCCACCCACCCACCCGCAACTTGGTTTGCAAAACCCATGAGGCGGCAATTGTGATGCCTGCCTGGCGCTGGCTGGCGCGTCGCTGCGGCCGACGCGGCCGCGGTGGCGCTGACCGCTGGGAACTTCCCAGCGAATCTCACAAGGCGCGCTGACGCGCGGGCACTTCAGTGCGAATCGGTGACTCGGGCGGGCGCCGGCACGATGATGATTGCAGCGGTGCTAGTGACGACGATGGAGATAACGACGGCCAGGGGAATGACGGCGCCGATGCCGATCACGGCGATGACGATGATGGTGTCCACGCGTCAGTGATGACGGTTTGGAGAAGTTTCGGAATGCGCGCGCGGCTGACGGGCGCGAGTGGCCCGCATGGTGTTATTTGACTGGGATCGTGACCCCCCCAGCACGCGCGCAAGGGCGTTCGAATGATTTCGACTTGCGCGCGCGAGAGGCTCGTTTGGTCGCATGTGATGAGAATTGGGAAGCCAATGATTGTCTGAAGAATTCACAAGAACACGCGCGCAGTTTTTTGTTGTTGTTTTTAAGGTTTTTTTTTTTTTTTTTTTTTTTTTTTTTTTTTTTTTTTTTTTTTTTTTTTTTTTTTTTTTTTTTTTTTTTTTTTTTTGTTTTTTTTTTTTTTGTTTTTTTTTGTTTTTTTGAACACTGCTGTTGCACAACCATTTGTTTCTTTATGTGTTCGGGGCGCCCGCCTTTGACATCCTTACGACGCCATTCTTATACATATACATATATATATATATATACATATATAAAAAACTGACCCTGGCATGCGCGCGCGATGACGCGCGTGTGCACTCGAGATTCTTCCTACCCTTCTTGGCTTCTGTGCGCCAGCCATCATCGCCGCCGCCCGCCATCCGCGTTCCCCCGCGCCGATGCGAGCCGACAGCTGGGACTGGCAGTCAGTGTAGATAGCTTTGGCCCTGCCACGCACCTCCCTTGGTGCACAGATCGCCTCGTCAAGACTTGCACCCAACGGGAGGGTGCCATGGCCTTGAGCCAAAATGGCTACGGTCTATGTGGGGCAATCTATGGTGTGCAACTGATTTTTACCCATGATTTGACACACCCCATGCTCTTGCAAACATCCCACCCACCCACCCGCAACTTGGCTTGCAAAACCTCTTAAGACCGTGACGGTAGGTACCAAATGGCACTTAGCAACGACACCGAAGACGACGACAGCGACGTCGACGACGACTTCGGCGACGACGACGACAACGACGACGATGACGACGACACCGACGACGACGACGCCGACGCCGACGCCGACGACGACGACGACGGCGACGCCGACGACGACGACGACGGCGACGCCGACGACGACGTCGACGACGCCGACGACGACGACGACGACGACGGCGGCGACGACGGCGACGCCGACGTCGACGACGACGAAGATGACGACGATGCCGACGCCGACGACGACGACGACGTCGCCAACGAAGACGACGACGACGAGGGAGGAGGGAGGACGACGACGGCGACATCGACGACAACGACGAGGGAGGAGGGAGGACGGCGACGACGCGAACGACGAAGGAGGGATGACGGCGACGCCGACGACGACAACGACGAGGGAGGAGGGAAGACGACGACGACGACGACGACGGCGACGAAATATGAGGGACGACGACGAGACGCCGACGACGGACGACGACGACGAGGGAGGAGGAGGAAGGACGACCACGGCGACAACGACGACGGAAACGACCACGACGCCAAAGAGGACGACGACGACGAACACGAGGAAAGACAGACGACGACGTAGGCGACGACGACGACGACGAGGGAGGAGGGAGGACGGCGACGACGACGACGACGACGACGACGCAAGAGCGCGCGCGCACGCTTTTGTTGAAACTCCGTATGGCGAAACCTTGTGTTTTTGTAGGTTTTTTGGACACACGATTTTGAAATCCTTCCGAAACCGATGGGTTCTGAATGATTTTGGCATACGTGCGCGACGACGCGCGCGTCTGCACCTCGTCCCATTTTCTGCAGAGGATTCTCGCGACGGCACACGCGCAAGGGCGTTCGACAGATTTCGACATGCGCGCGCGAAGCCCGTTTGGTAGCATTTTGTGATAATCTTGAAAAACCTATGGTTTTCTTAAGATCTCGCAAGAGCTCGCGCCTAAGCTTCTTTAGCAAATCAGTGTTGCGAAACCCTGTGCTTTCGTAAGTTTTTTGGAAACTCGATTTCGAACCGAAGGTTTTTGAAGGATTTCGGCATGCGCGCGCGACGACACGCGCGTGTGCACTTCGTCCATTTTTTGCAAGGGATTCGTGAAACAAGTCTTATGTTGGAACAAAAGATGTCCCCGCGCATTGTTTTGTACAAAGGAACCTCAGGGGGAGCGATACCGGCCCCCCGGGGATAGTGAAAATTCATATTTAGGATGGACATGTGGTCATAATCATATGTGATTTACATGCCCGAAAGGGGTGGGGATAACGCCGGGGGGGGGGTAGAGTCTATTCTCTTTTTAGGAAGGAGAATAAATGTGGTGCAGTCTACGTCGTGCAATCTATGTGGAACAACAACCTATGTGGCGGCGGCGAGGCGGCGACGGGGCGGCAACGGCGACAACACAACCGCCAGACCGCCACACCGGCCCAGACGACCGGCGGCGACGAGGCAACGACGGCGCGGCGACGGCGACAACATAGCCGCCAGACCGGCACACCGGCCCAGACGACGGGCGGCGACGAGGCGGTGAAAGGGCGGCGACAATGACAACATAGCCGCCAGACTCTGAGACCGCCACTCTGGCCCAGACGACTGGCGGCGACGAGGCGGCGACGGGGTGGCGATGGCGACAACATTGCAGCCAGACAGCCACACCAGCCCAGTTCCTCGGAAAAGAGAGCCGAGCCACTGAGTGCAAACACAGTTTTTGGGAAAAACTGTAAACACAAATAATCTGTCCGAGGACCGCGCGGATTTTCGGATCGGCGCTGGACCCCCTCCCTGGCCCGCGGAGCGCGCCATGCGCGGTGCCTGAGGCGCCGCCAAAGAGGGCCCAGCGCCGATCCAAGAATTCCAGGCGGACCTCCGAGAAATCATGTCTATGCCTTATGTCTTCTTCGAAGGATGGGTGAGAGGGGGACGAATGTGGAGACGGAGAGGGAGAGGACGAGGAGGGCGAGGTGGATGAGGTTGGAGCGTCTGGGTGGCGAGGAGGAGGAGGAGGAGGAGGAGGAGGAGGAGGAGGAGGAGGAGGAGGAGGAAGCGGAGGAGAGGGGGAGGGCGATGTGGTGCACGGGGCTCCGGAGGCTAGAAAGAAAGGGCCAAGCACGTCCAGAAGCCTCGATCCCCGATCCTCGAACCTCCTCCATCCTCCCTCCTCCCCTCCCCCCCCTCAAATCCTCCCTCTTTCCTTTCTTGCTTCCTTCCTTCCTCCCTCCCGTCCCCCTCCATCCTCCGTACAGATCCCCTTTTCGCGCTCCCTGCTCGTCCCAGGCTCTGCGCAAGCGGTGATGCATCGGTGCAACTGCCGCGCTTCCCGTCTCTTTCTCTCATCTGCCTGGGTCCGGGGCGCTCGCCCGCAAGCTTCGAAGCCCGCGAAGGGCGCACCGCCCAATCCGACGGTCGACGACCACCTTCCTTCCTCCCCTCCTCCCTCTCGAATCTTCGCGCCGCTCCGCGCCCTTGGGCGAAGAGAGCTCGCCGCACCCGCGCGCGCGCGCACTGGCGTGGGGCGGGCTCGAGCAAGGAGGGCTCGAGCCTGACCTCGCCCTGCGACCCGAGATGGGGGAGCAAGGCTGCCGCAGAGGCCGCGTCGGGGCGGAGACCAGGCCACGGGGGGCCGTTTCTGATCCGGCTCTGCGGCGGCACAGCGGTTACTGTCGGACCTACACGTCGCTCCTTTCGACTCGTGCTCACTTCTAGTTGTGCTCGCTTCTGATTGTTCCTGGCCCCTGGTGGCCAGGAAGAGGCCCAGGATAGAACAATTGGAAATGAAAGGATCTTGGCCCCACAAGAAGTCCAAGAACTTCCGAATACTGAGAAATGAACAGTGTGTAGGCCAGAAGGACATCCCCCAAGAGCATAAGGCCCTCCGCCTGCCACATCCAAGGGTGCCCTCCCCAGGACGCACGAAAACATCCAACCACTACGAAGAACACGGGGGTGCCCTCCCCGAGCCGACCTCGATCTTGCACATCGGCCCGGCTGTACCACTCCAGCAGGAGCTCGGTGGGCACGCTTCGGCCATCACGTCTTGCGGCGCGCGGCCTCGCAAACGTTGTTGATTGGGGGCGTCCCGCCCTCCCTGGCGGTCGGAGTGCGAAGGCTTCTTCCTAGTCGCATGCCACCAGGGCTTGAACGGCCTTCTGTTCAATTGAATCTGGGCGTTGGCGGCGTTTTCACGGTCAGTGTACAGCGGATTCGTCTCAAGTGGCACCTCAGGTGGAGCATGCCAATACACACCCAGATCATATTTAATCTGGTGTATTTACAGGTTTGGCTGTTTGGGGGTATTCCGACAACCCTTACACCTCGGCAGAAACATCCTGCATGCATGCTGATTCTGCGCGGGCACGGCGGCGGGGTTTGCCGCAGGCACTTGCACATTGAACCAGAGCCCATGACGCACACATCGAAGACAATCCATCAAGGCTTCGGCGCCTCTGTTCCAACGCCCTGTTGTGCGTCCATCTGATGAAAAGACCCCCTAACCCTTTAGGGATAGGGGGTCTTTTCATCAGATGCATCCGACCGAACCACCCACAATCATCCTCCCTGATGCAAAGACGTGGACATAGGTTATGCTACGTCTTCATTGTGACATCGTCTTCTAAAATATATACACACACACATATATATATATATATATATATATATATATATATTTTTTGTTTTGTTTTCTGCGTTTTTTGTTCTCGATGATCCAGTGCCCTTCCTCCTTTCCTGTCTTCTCCAACCCCTGATCGCGCACTCTTCTCCTCCGCGGGTGGCCTCGCGCAGCGTGGAGCGGGCCACCTCCCCCTCGGCACCGGGTGCCCGGCGCTCGCGCTTCCGCCCGACGCCGACGGGGCCGTGGCGCACGGCCGCGCCGGGGTCCTGCCGAGAGGGAGCAGCGGCGTCTGGTGGGGAAAAGGGCACCCATACACCCCCACACGTCGCTCCTTTCGACTCGTGCTCTTTTCTAAGTGTGCTCGTTTCTAATTGTTCCTGGCCCCCTAGTGGTCAGGAAGAGGCCCAGGATAGAACAATTAGGAATGAAAGGATCTTGGCCCCCCAAAAAATCAAAGAACTTTCGAAGACTTAGAAACCAGCAATGTGTACCCATACCCCTACCCCCGCCTTGTTTTCTATTTTTTTGGGCCTCCTGGGCGGCCCTCGTCCCCACCTCTGGATTCGCCCTGACATCCTGGTCAGAGTGCGCCCCAGGGAGAGGTCCGGGGAGTAGCGGTATCGGTACCTTTTGGTTTCCCCAAGTGGCGTCTGGGGGGGGGGCGGACAGCACTGGCTGCTGAACCCCACGAGATCAGTCGAAAGGTAAGATCCGCCGATTCCGCGATCGAACTCAGATCGGGTCGAGCTCAGCCTTGCCGACATCGTGCTGCATCCACTGGTGGCGCAGCGGCGAAGCAGAGGGTGAAGGCGATCTCGATCGAAGCGGCCGGAATCGATGTCCGCATTGATTCTTTTTTCCAGCCCTCCAGCCCTCCGACGGTGCTCTTCTTCGCACTCCAGGCCTCGAACGGGCTGGACGTGGGCGAGAGGCCGGCCAGCGGGCTCATCCGGCACAAGACACATCTCGCCGCTACTCTGGCGAGCCTGGCATCTGCGCGGGGCGCCAGCTCCGCGAAGCCTTCCAGCTGTCCCACGAGGCGTCCCCGCTGGCAGCACCCCGATGATTCCCGTCGCCCCGGCTGCCACCGTTCCCACCTGCACCACCTGTGTCACGGCCGCCGCCAAACCGCCTGTCCCGGCTGTCATTCCAATCGTCCTTCGCGCTCGAACGGTTGCCACCGCCACCGCCGCTGGACCACTTGTCCTTGTCGCCGTTCCATTCGTCCTGAGTGCCGGCACCACCTCCTTGACCACCGCCAGGCCACTTGTCCCGGCCACTGGTCCAATCGTCCCGGGTGCTAGCCCCGATGCCACCACGGCCGTCGCCGCTAGACCATTTGTCCTGGTCGCTGCTCCGCTTGTCACGGTTGCCCTCGCTACCCCCACCACTGCCCCCAGACCACTTGTCCTGGCCGCCGCTCCAGGTGTCTTCGGTCCCATTAACAATGCCATCGCCACCGCTGCTGCCAGACCACTTGTCCCTGTCGCCGCCACTCCACTTCTCGTGGGTGTCAGCCCCCCCACCACCGCCGCCGCTGGACCTCTTGTCCTGGTCGCCGTTCCACTTCTCGTGGGTGTCAGCTACCCCGCCACCGCTGCCGCTGGACCGCTGGCCCCGGTCGCCGTGCCAGTCGACCCGGCCGCTGGCGCCACTGCAACCGCCACCGCCGCCAGACCACTTTTCTCGGCCGCTGCTCCGGTCGTCCTGGCTGCTGGCACCACCGCCACCACTGCCTCCGCCGGACCACTTGTCCCAGCCGCTGCTCCTGTCGTGCGTGGTCCTGGCACCGTCGCCACCGCCACCGCCGTCGGACCACTTGCCCCAGGGACGAGCCTCTTCAGCCGAGGAGGGCCTGGCTGCATAGTCTGGGTCTGGGCTCTGCTTGTCCCAACTGCTCTTCGCCGGGGTCCGCTTGTCCCAACTGCTGGCCCCTCCAGCCGATGACCACTTCTCAGCAGGCTCTGGGTCCCGGCTCCACCCTTTGCCGTCGCTCTGGCTCGGGGCCCACTTCTCCCAGCGTCCGCCCTCTTCGGCCGACGACCGCCTCCTGTCTGCAGACTCGGGGTCGGGACCCCGCTCGCGCTTACCGCTCTTCGGGGGGGCCTTGTCGTCCCAGCCGCCTCCTCTGCCCGACGACCGCCTGTCCAGGCCCCACCCGTCCTCGCCGCCCCCGCGGGGAGCCCACTGGTCCCAGAGCCCCGCGGCGCCCCGCCTCGGGCCGCCCGCGTCCGCCGCCTCCCGCCTCCCGCCGCCCTGGCCCTCCCAAGACGCCCCGTCTTCCCGAGCCGCCCCCTGCTCCTGAGCCCGCGGGCTGGCCAAGTGCCTTCTGACCTTTGCCCGCCCGAAGTGGCAACGGACAAGAAGGGGTACGAGACCGCCCAGCAGCAGATGCTGTCCAAAACCAGCAGCGGCCGCTTCTGGGCAAGCGACCTCTTGCTTCAGATGCGCCACAGCCGCGGCGACACCAACAGCGAGCCCTGCTCAAAACGGGCAGGAGCTACCTCTCGGTCTCTGTCTCCATTCTCTCCGTACCCACTTCGTTCGTGCCGACGACCCTCCGCAGCGCCTCCGAGCGTCCGGCGGGCCCTCCGTCGCGGCCGAAGGCCAGCAGCTCCGGCGCGGCGGCGGGGCTGCTGCCGTGGGGCGCCCCGCCGTCCTCGCCGATGCGGACCGTGATCGTGAGCGAGCCGTCGGCGCACTGCGCCTCCTCGATGCTGCCGCGGAAGGAGAGCTCGCCCTGGACCACCTGAGCGATGAAACGGGACGGGCCTCACGCACGCTGCCGCATCGACCTAGCGCTGCTGCTGACGCGGGTCGCCCGCGCGGCACGCCACGCTGCACAGGAGGGCGCTCACGCGCGACCTTGCGCGGGCAGCTCTCGCGCGCATCTCCGCACCGCCGGCCCCGTGTTCTGCCGCCGCTCGCCTGCACCCGCGCACCGGCGGCCAGGGCCTCCGCCGCCGGTGGCCGCCGGAGCAGCAGGAGGCAGCCGGTGCTCTCCTCGGCGGAGAGGAGGGCCGCCTCGTCCAGGAGCTGCTCCTCGCCCGCCTCCAGCCTCAAGGTGCTGACGTCCGTGCGGCCCTCCAGCGAGCTGGCTGTGGCCCTCACGCGCCGGCCCGCCGCGCAGCCCTGGCCGGCGTCGTCCGCGGCACACGCGCCGAGCATCTGGAGGTACTCGCGCCCGAGCGCGCGCTCGGCGCCGTAGCCTGCGACAACCAGGGCGCTGCCGAGGAGCTCGATGCCGCAGCCAGCGGCCGCCTGGACTGCACGAACCCGGGCGGGCGTTATGCTGAGGATCTCGCTCTCGCTCAGCTGGATCACGTCCATGGCCAAGGCGTCGCCGCACGCGTCGTCGCTCAGCCTCTGCACGCCCATGCCTGCGTCGGACAGGGTGCTCGCCAGGCGCGTGGGCGAGTAGTGGCCTGGCGCCTCCTGCGCCGCGGCGGCCAGCACCCGCAGCTCCGCACGCCTCCGTGCGCGCTCGTCGAGGCCGAAGACGTACACCTCCAGCATCTCGAGCTCTGCGGCGGCCTCGTACCCCGCGCCCGCCTCGTCCTGCGCCGCGGCGGCCTCGGCGTCTGCCCCTCCCTCCTCCTCCTCCGCCTCCGCTGGCCCCTCCTTCTTGTCCTCAGCCTTGCCGTCGGCCTCGTGCTCCGTGCCCTTCTCCTCTTCGGTGACCTCGGCCTCGGCGCCGCCTTCCTCGGCCTCGCGCTCCTCCTTCCCGTCTTCTCTCGCCGCGGCATCGGCCTCCGCCTCCTTCTGCTCCTCGCCCCCTGCAGCGACCTCGGCCCCCGCCTCGCCATCCTCGGCCCCTGCCCTGCACTCCCCCTCGGCGACCTTGGGCTCCACCCCTCCCTCCGCCGCCTGCGGGGCAAAGCAGATCATGACGCCCTCCTGGTCCTCGACGCGGACCCGCCATCGCCTGCCGCCGTCGCGCGAGACGAGGGCGAAAGGGACCGACACGCTGCCCATGTGCGCCCGCACGCCGGGTGGCAGGTGCTCCGTGCAGCTCGGCCACTTGTCCGAGCGGCGCATCGCCTCCAGCAGCGCCACCGCGAAGCCCCGGGCCGCCGCAGGGCCGGCCACGTAGGCGGTCGTGCCCAGGTACTCGATGATGCACGAGGTGGCGCGGCAGGCGCTCCGGGTCCGCCCGCGGCCCGACTTCCCGGTGCAGTTGACGAGGAGCTCCTTCTCGATCTCCACGACGTCCACAGCCCAGTCCCCCGAGTTGCCCCAGTCTCCGGGCATCTTGCCCTCGAAGAAGCCCGCCTCGCGCTTGTCCACCTCCTGCATGAGCCTGAGCTGCGCTGCGCACCGCTGCCGCACCGATCCGAAGATCGCCACCTTCAAAGATGGCTCCACGGGGGCTTCGGGGACCGCATCGTGCTGCGCTTCTTCCTCGGGCTCCGCGTGCAGTCGCAGGTTGCCCAGCTCGACCTGCACCTCGGCGTTCTCCTCCTCCCCCTCCCCCTCCAGAAGCACAAGCACCGCGCCGTCGATCGGAGGGGCCTTGACCTTGCCGGGCCTCCACTCGCCCTCGGCGAGGACGTCGACGGCCTCGCCGACCTCGTACCGCGGGCGGAGCGCGTCGAAGTCGAGGGTGTAGGTCCCTTGGCTCTCGAACTGCACCCTTGCGAGGCGCGAGCGCATGACCTCCGCCACCGTGCCCACGTCCCATGCGGGTGTGCTGCGGATGTCGCCGACGCGCCTCCTGGCCTCTACCCTCCTGCCGACGACCAGCCACGGCGGCGCCGGCTGTGCCGCGGAGCCCTCCCGAGCCTGCTCACCCCTGCCCTCGTCGACGGCGAAGAGCATCGTGCCCTCGACGTGCGCCTCGACGTTCCTGAGGACGCTCCACTGCCTGCCGAGCACGGCGGCCTGCAGCCGCTCGGGCAGTTCGAAGACGGTGAGGTCCCCGTCGTCGCAGGCCGCCACGTCCAGCTTGACCCATTCCCTGCTCGCAGACCGCACAAGCCGCAGATACTTGGCGGCCAGGCGCCCCTTCGACTCGTCCCCCGAAGATATGGTCAACTTCGTGCCGTCGATGTCGACCTGGGCCCCGGAGGCCATCGCGATCCTCTGCTGGGGGCACCTCATCCGCACCGTTTGGTTCCCCACATATTCGACGGGCTCGGAGGTGAGATGTCGCGCCTCGTCCTTTGTTAAGAGTGTCTCGCCGTTGCCGGCCAGTGGAGGAATCGCTTCGCACTCGCCGCTCAGGGCAGGTGCCTCAGGCTCGTCGCCCTTGCCCGCACCGGTGGCCTCCACCGTCTGCACGACGGGCGCCGCCGCCTGCTCTGCATGCAAGTCAGACGGAGGTTGAATCGGCTCATCGGCAGCAGCGACGTCCGGCGCTGCCGCGCCCGCGGCGTGCGTATCCACATCACCGTCTGCATCAGCGTTGGTGCCGGCTCCCACCGTGTCGCGGTAGTCGGTGTCATCCGCGCCTGTGGCCGCAGCAGAATCTGCCGCTGCCATCGCTGTTGCTGTGGTGGCCTCTTCCTCGGCCGACATGGTCTTGCTGCAGGCCGCTCTAGCCAAAGGCTACGGAACCACAATTGCTCACATGCGCACCCGAAAAAATCGGAGTGAAGGGTTTCCGTTCAAGCGAGCCCGTTTCAAGTCGCTTGCCGCAAGCGTGTTGGCTGCCAGGGCGAGCGGTTATCGTTGCGCTCATCGGGTGGGGTGGGCCGTTGAGCCTGGCCTAGGGGGGGGGGGGCGGCGGCGTCGTGGGGGCCCCATGGAAGGCCCATGGTCCATTACTGGCACCGCGTCCAAGTTTCAGAAAAACATGGCTCTGAAAACATGGTTGCCAGCGTGGACACCACACGATCAGTTCCTCACTATTCAGAACCTTACCTCTTGGCGACCAGGCCATCGCAGCAAGAAGGGCTAGCTGGACCCAAGACCCTCATGGCGGCGACCGGAAAGTCGCAACAATCATGGCCTGCGTGTCCCGAGACTCTGTGACCGACGACCTAGGATCGCAAACCCAGGGCCACGCGGACTCGGGACCGCATGGGCAGCAACCAACACATAGCAGTAGAGGGTTAGCATAACCCCGTACCCTGCAGGCGGCGACCAGAAAAGTGCAAGAAACAGAGCCAGCGGGACCCACGATGGGCGGCGACCAGAACGTCGCAACAAGGGCCACCGGGACCAGAACTTGGATACGTCGAGAACCAATTCCTTACCACATTTGTGCCACCCAGCGCAGCGCAAACATTTTTCCAAGCCCTCTTGTATTGGGTTAATGTTTTCCATGGAGCTCTGCGGTCGCGACTGCTCTTTCTTCTTCTTCTTCTCCTCCACCTCCTCCTCCTGCCTCCTGGCCTCCTTACTTCCGTGGGCGCTGCGAGCTGCGCGACCGTCGCCACTTTCTTGAACTCCTGGAGTATCAAGCGCAGTGGGTAGTCATGCAGACCCCTTTGAGACCTCGCTCCCTGGGGGGCTGCGAACTAAACAACCGTCGCCACTTTGGCGAATGCTTGGGAAATCCACCGGAATCGGTGGTCAAACGGACACGTTTGAGACCTCGCGGCTCCCTGGGGGGCTGCGAACCGCGCGGTTCAGAGGGGTGGGTACTCACCCGGACCCGTTTGGGATCTCGCGGCTCCTGAGAGGTCCAGCGGAGTGGGTAGTCACACGGGCCCGTTTGAAACCTCGCGGGTCTTGGGGGGGCTGTGAACCGCGCAACTGTCGCCATTTTCGTGGGCTCTTGGCCGATCTAACGGGGTGGGTAAGCACGCGGACACGTTTGGGACATAGCGGCTCCTTTGGGGCTTTCGTGGGCTCCTGGGAGGTCCAGCGGGGTGGGTAGTCACGCGGACCCGTCTGAGACCTTGCGGCGCCCCAGGGGGGCGTCGAATTACGCAGCTGTCGCCACTCCTCGGAGTTCGCCTCGGAACCGTCGGGAACCTTCTCGCCGATGCAACATGTAGGGCGGCTGGGGGACAGCGGCGGTGGCCAGAGAGCGTGCCGAGAAGCTTTGGGGAGCAAAGCCAGCCGCCCACTGACGATATCAGGACAACCCCCTCGCATGCCCGTACCCGCCTCATGGACACTACGAGGGGGCCGCAGGCCCTGCCCAACCCTCGAGGTGGCCTCCGCGCGAGGCTCCTGGGCTATGCAGTGTGCCCTGCGCTCCTGCCATCCCCCTCCTCCTCGTCCTCCTACTCCCCTTCCTCCTCCTCCTCCTCCTCCTCCTCCTCCTCCTCCTCCTCCTCCTCCTCCCCCTCCTCCTCCTCTTCCTCCTCCTCCTCCTCCTCCTCCTGTTCTGTGCTCTTGCCCTGCACTCCCCGTCCACAATTCCTGAGAAGCCTTGAGCCGACGAGGTTCTGCAGTGAGACGTCCTGTCAACGGGCTCTCCCCAAATCGTAGGCTGCAATCTGCTGTGCGGGGCACCGCAGTACAGTCCGGTGCAGCGGGGAGCTGGGGCAGAGTACGGCGCGCACCGAGGCCGCACCACGTCCACACCACTCGCGCAAGCATGGGGAGGGCACGCACCTGCAGCACCCGATGTCCACCTGGAGCGCCCACGTGGCCAAACATTGGGCCAACTCTTGCCACGCTGCCGGGTTGTGTGCTCCCAATTCCGTTGTGGGGGCTGCTGGGACGACTTTGGATATCATACTGTATGACTCCCCAAACACGTCTTCCACTGAGAAGGTCTCGCTTGTTCTGCACTGAGTTTGCCTCTGTAGCCGGGATCCTCGCTCATCCCTGGCGGCTTCCAGACATACGACCCCCCCCCCAGGGATTTCCGTACAGGCGGTTGCTATGAGAGGGCCCCTGTACAACGATCGGGGGCGTCCAAGAGGGGCGTGGAAGAAGGGGGGGGGCGCAGCATGGCTCGAAGCATGTGCGCGGACGAGGGGGGGCTAGGGGACGCGTTGGAAGAGCAAGAAGGGCCGTGAAATCTGGGAGGTACATGTCATGGCCTCGGCCATGATATGCCCCCCCCCCCAATTCTCACCCCCCTCTTCAATGCCTGAAGGCTTTGGGGCGTCTGGCGGCCGTTCGGGACAATCTTGGCACCCCCAGAAAACACTCGACGATGCGCAGCTGCCGGAAATTATCCCGAGGCGAGAAAACCTCCGAGAGCCAACGAAAACTTCCTCCGCCCTACCCCATCGACGACGGACGAGAAACCTTCCGCCTCTGGGTCGCCCCCGAGACGACCGAACGCAGACTCCCAGGTCAACCGAGGCCAGGACCACCTGAGTGGGGCCCTCTGAGATTGGCGGCGACTCCGAAAGCCGACTCGCAGGGCAGCCAACGGCTGCAATGCGCGCTCTTGTGACTGCTGCTGGCGCCCGCGCCCCCGACCCCGGACGCGGCCTGGCAGCCTGGCTCGGCCAACACTGGCAGCGCGGCCAAACGCTGCCGGGGATCGGCTCAATCTGACGCCCCGGCAAGCTAGGAGACCGGAAGGGCTGGCCTCCGGGGGCGGCGGCCACGGGGCCCCACAGCACAGGGGCGCGTGGCCGCCCGCCAAGTGCACTGCGCGCGGTGCACTGGAGGGCTGCCCATCCCGACCTTCCCGCTCAGCCTCGAAGGGCCGATCACCATGAGGCCAGGCCGCCTAACTTAGCGCCTCGCGCCCCGCGATGCGCGGTACTCTTCGCGCCCTCGCGCCGCCGCCCTGGACATGGGGCGACCGACCTGGCTCAGACCGCGACGCGCGAGGCGCAACTATCGTCGCGACCCTGACGGTGCCCCAGATGAGGAAAAGGGTGTAATTTTTCAGTCTGCCGTTTTCGGCTTCCTTCGCCCTGGGGCCGTCAACAAAACCACTCGGGATGAGAAGCTGGCCCAGGGGGGGCGTGTGGCAGCACCCTGGCGGGCAGCACCCTGACGGGGCAGAACGCGCTGCAGCGTACGGCCCACCCGCGCGCGAAGCTTGCCCCCTCCTTCTCGCCCGCCTCTTCCTCCTCCTGCCTCCTCCTCTTTCTCCTCTTTCTCCTCTTTCTCCTCCTCCTCCTCCTCCTCCTCCTGCCTCCTCCGTCCTCCTCCTCCTCCTCCTCCTCCTCCTCCTCCTCCTCCTCCCTCCTCCTCCCTCCGTATTGTTTCCTTATACATGACTCCTCCCTGTCGCACCCCGAGGCGTCGGGCGTTTGGCGTAAGACTTCCTCACCACTTATGAAAGACTTTGCAAGATATTAACAGATGGATGGCGGGCAGTTTTTTTTTGTTTTCTTTTTCTGATATATATATATATATATATACGTGGCTATCGCCCTAGCGCCGCGCACATTCGTTTTGAAAGTCTGCTCGAACTTCATGGATGGAGGGCGGGTGGTTTTCAAAATGTGACTCTCGCCTTAGCGCCGCGCGCGTTCGTCGTCAAATGCTACAAGAGTTTCACGCATGGAGGGCGGGTCGTTTTCACAGTGTGACTCTCGCCTAACTGCCGCGCGCATTCGTCTTGACAATTTGTAAGAATTTCACGGATGGATGGCGGTTCCTTTTCAACATGTGGCTCTCGCCTTAGCGGCGCGCATTCGTCTTTAACGTGCGCATGAGTTTCACTGATGGAGGGTGGCTCCTTTTCAATATGTGGCTCTCGCTTCAAGGCCGCGCACACTCGTCTTACACATGTGCCAGAGCTTCACGGATTGAGGGCGGCTCCTTGTCAATCTATGGCTCTCGCCTTAACGCCGCGCGCATTCGTTGAGACGACTTTGCAGCACGTTCAAGGACCCTCATGATTGACGTCCCAAACATGGTGTTTTGCCGCGATGTTGAACTGTCAGGGCGCGACAATTGCGTTCTTTCGTGGCGTTGATGTTCCAAGAATTGTGTTCTGGCGCGGTTCAGGATCGTCAAGACGCAAAAGTAACGGTGATCCGCGGCGTTGAAGTCCCAGAAATGGTGTTCCGGCACAGTTCAGGATTTTCAAAGGGTTGCCTTCCAACGGGGCACTTCCCCCAGTGAACATGAATACGCGTAGGGGCCTATGACGAGGGAACTTAGGAAGGGTTTATTGCAATATCGTTGACGAGTCTTGGGCTTACACTGGTCCTCCTCCTCCTCCTCCTCCTCCTCCTCCTCCTCCTCCTCCTCCTCCTCCTCCTCCTCCTCCCCCCTCCCCCTCCCCCTCCTCCTCCCTCCTCCTCCTCCTCCTCCTCCTCCTCCTCCTCCTCCTCCTCCTCCTCTGCCTCCGACTCCCCTCCGCCTCCTCCTCCTCCTCCTTCTCCTCCTCCGCCTCCTCCGCCTCCTCCTCCTCCTCCTCCTCCCCCTCCTCCCTCCCCTCCTCCTCCTCCTCCCCTCCTCCTCCTCCTCCTCCTCCTCCTCCTCCTCCTCCTCCTCCCCCCTTCCTTTCTTTTTCCTCCCTCCTGCCTCGTGCCTCCTCCTCCGCCACTCGCTCGGCGGTGACGACCTGCTTCCATGATGGCCCCTCCACCCGCCTCCCCATCCCCTCCCAGGGGACGTGGGCGGATGGCTGGAGCAGGGGGGGCCCAACTCGCCGCACCTCCGACGCCACACGTTTTTTTTTTTTCTCTCACCGCGCAATACTCCTCGGAGCCCTGGGCCTCGTCCGGACTTGCGCGCTGCCCTTGCGCCGTGGGGGGGGTCGCCCCGTGTCCAGCTCGAGCAGCTCTGGACCCAAAGAGGCTGTCGTGTCACTTCTGCTTCCGCCGCCCCGCTTGCGCCGCTCTGCCTCTCTTTCTCAGTGCTGCGCCCGCAAGTCTCAGCACCAGGGCGTCTCGTGGCGGGCCTCGCTGAAGAGTCGAGACGAAGCGGCGCGGCGCGACGGAAGCGCTTGAGATCCTGCTGGGGGGGGGGCCTACGAGGGCTGCCAGGGACGGGGGAGGCGGGCTGGCCCCAATCTCCATCTTCAGAGTGACCCCCCCCCCCCCCGGCGTGCCTCTGTGGGAGCAACGCCCTGCAGGGGCGGCCCCCCGCCCTCCCCCCCCCTCCGGGAGAAGGGGAGGGGTCCAAGCGCACAGCGCATGAGACCCTCAGCGCTGCCCCGGCACGCAACACGCAGCCCGTCGCGTTGTTTTGACGCGGAGTTCAACACGCAGAATGAAAACGTCGGTCCGACACGATGCGTTCGCCAAAGCGTGGGTACGCCGAGCCAGCACGCAGCGCATCGACGCGGACGCCTTTGGGCACGGTGCGTGTTGCGTTTCAGCACGGGCGTATCAGGGCAGCTACGGTCCTGCTCTGTCTCAGGATATCTTGGACTCTCTGGCCGCAGGTCGGGCCAGAGAGCCCAGCTTGGAACGACTCTGGCATTCCGGGAGCGCTGTCGACGAGGCGCAGTTGCTTGGGACCACCCCTGGACACGAACACCTTCGAAAGCGCCTCAAGACATCCGAAGACCCGCTTCCCAGACCTCCGATGTCGTGGTTTTCCAATCCGTAGGCCCCGAAGCCCCCGACCCCTTCCCTGGGACATTTGTTAACGTCCCTGGGTCTTTTTTCGACAGCTCGCGTAGCCCTGGACCACTCGATTGCACCGTCTGTGTCCCTGGTCTGTTCTCATCTGCAGTGGCTGTGTCGTGAATGTAAGCCTGCTCCCAGGCACATCCTGGCGGTTTATACGATCTGTTGGCTCTTAGGCTGGTCCGCGGCCGTTCGTCTTCGGCGGTGGACAAACCTCCCTTTAGTAAACCATCCTTCAGTGAAAAAGGCCTGGGACCGAAACCGACGGACTTGGACCCGCAAAAATGACGGCCGCGATGCCCTCTCGCGAACCGAAAACCGCCAATTCGTCAATCGACGTGTCAGAGCAGGAGGTCTATCAAAATCCGACGTCTCCTCGCCCCTCTCCCGCCAGCGCCCCTGGGCCTCAAGTCGCAGCGGATGCGCCCCGCCGTTTGCTCCCCGCCGCTCCCTGGGCCCTGACACCCCGCCGCGTGCCCGAAACAACACGGGCTCCCCTCGACGGCCCCGTGGCCCGACAAGCTAAGCTGCCACCCCGAGGTTCGATCGGCGGAGGCAAGCTGCCGGGAGTGAGCAAGGGACACCGCGACACGTCGGCGGCCGAAGCTCTCCCCCCTTCGAAAACGAGGGGGAGAGAGAGAGCCCTCGGGGCGAATGTCTCGGGTGTTGCTAGAAGTGCCCCTGGCCCATGGTACCCCCAGCTCCTCGCTCCATTTTTTTGGCCCTCATAAGGCCCTCTGGGCCTCGTCAGGGGTGCTTTGGAGGCCGTCTGGGCCACCCCGGGAGTCCTGGGGGCACCTTGGGCCAGGGGCGCTTCTGGCAACACCCGAATGTTGAGGGGGGCGCCCGCGGGTCAAGCTCCGGGCTGCGAGCAGCCAGCCCCCCCCCCCCCCCGCAGGTGGTCCCGGCTGGCCTCAGCGGGCCTGCCCGAGCAGCCCCAGCTGGCCTCAACGGGCCCCCTGAGCAGTCCGTGGCGGCACCCTGGGGCGGCGTCCCCGATTCGGGGGGCCTGCTAAGGCCAGCTGGGACTAATTACTCGGGAGCCCTGTTGCGGCCGCCCCCGCAGGGGCTCCAGAGATGCCCGAAGGGGCCTCCAGTGCCGCCGCCTTGCTCCCAGAGGTCTCTCAGTTTTCCCTCTGGTTGCCCGCTGCCCAAAACCCCGAGAGAGCACCAGCAGCAGCAGCAACCGCAAGAATACCTCTAGACGGTTCCATGAATCTTCGTCAGCGTCGTCCTCATCCTAGTCCTCGTCCTCCTCGTCCTCGTCTTCATCCGCGTCCTCGTCCTCCTCGTCCTCCTCGTCTTCCTCCTCCTCCTCCTCCTCCTCCTCCTCCTCCTTCTCCTGCTCCTCCTCCTCCCCCTGTTCCCCTCGCCTCCACGCGGCCCCCAGGGATGGCCCGAAGAGGCCTTCCAAGGCCACCCCCTTGCTCCCATAGATCTCTCGGTTCACCCTGGTTGCTCGCTTAGCTTCCCTAGATGTGTCTCTTCGTCCCTTTTCCCGTCAGCTCTCATGGGCAGGGCTTCTGAATGGGCTGGTAAGCGATACGGAGGTGCCGCGCGCCGTCAAAGTCATAACGCGCAAGCTACGGCCTACATTGCGCAAGAGAGGGGACAGGAAGACAACGAGAGAAAAGACGGCGGAAGAGACAAGCAGCGGGCGAACCTCACTGCCGCTCAGAAGAGCGCCAGCACCCGGCGAACAGCAGGGCGACGTGCAGCACCACGAAGTAACTGAAATCCTCGGCCCAGAAGCGGAGGAACATGACGTGCAAGCGCTCGACGGAAATTCTGGATCGCCGGTCGCCGGATGGTGCGAGGAGTCGGTGAGAGGAAGCCAAACTCCGGCGAAAGAGTCGGCGAGAGCCGACGCCAGGGGACATGAGCAGGCCCCGGGGAAGGCACGTGGGGGAGGACCGTGTGTCCGTCTACCCCAAGCGGAAAGAAGC